GCTATCTTGCTTCCCACAGGAGATGATCTACTCCTCTTGCTTCCCACAGTAGATGATCCAGCTATCTTCCTTCCCACAGTAGATAATCTACTTCCACAGCTTCCCACCACAATAGACAAGCAACTTCCACAGCTTCCCACAGCAGATGAGCCACTTGTTTGTGTTCCCCCCCGTACAGGTGATCCACTGTTCCGGCTACCTGAAGATCAAACACTACACATTAGACATGGCTCCCTACGACAGCTGCTACCAGAACGTGGGGCTGGTCGCCGTGGGCCACTCCCTCCCGCCCTCCGCCATCACCGAGATCAAGATGCACTCCAATATGTTCATGTTCAGAGCCTCTCTCGACCTCAAACTCATCTTCCTAGACGCCCGGTGAGTACTGCTGCTTGTCTCTTGGACGGCCGGATTCCTGATCGCCTCCTGCATGGCGCCTTTTGGTCTTATGACCGGGAGTGCGGGGTCTTGTCGATTGGTTTGAAATGGAAATAGCACATTGGATATAAATGGATATTTGGTTTGGAATGACGGTGTTTTTAATGGCCGTCTCGTGGGGGAGGGGGGGTGGGGGAGGGGCGTTATGGTCATGTATACAAGGCAGTTTGACTAAGCTCGTTATCTAATTGCCAATAACCATGTATATCGTTAGGTCAGCATGTATTAGCTTAGGTTAAGGTGTGTCAGGTTAGGTTAGGTTAGTTTGAGTTAGGTTAGGTTAGGTTGGATTAGAGGAGGATTTAAAATGAACTATTTTGTGTACGATGTGACTTGTAACCCTCTCATACAGCGGTTGCGATGTATTTATTGATTTGTATATATTCATATATACACAAGAAGGTACAATGGGTCGTGAGAGTACATATGGTGGTGATAAGGTGGTACAGTCTAACAAAGCCACTAACAACCACACCGGTACGGCCAGGTCTTAAACCTAAACAAAAAATTTCCGTGAAAACTAAACGGAGGAATAGGTTTATATTGAATAACAATAAATGTAATACACGGAGAGATACACACTCATTGATACACACTAACGTGATGCATCAATGAGATAAATCCGTAGGAGCCGTGGTGAGGATTCGAACCTATGTGCTGGGTGTTCCCACACACACACGCCCCAGACAACTAGACCACGACATGGTTAAAAAGATTGCAACCCGGAGTTCTACTGAACCTGGAGTTCTAATGAACCTGGAGTTCTACTGAACCTGGAGTTCTACTGAACCTGGAGTTCTAATGAACCTGGAGTTCTACTGAACCTGGAGTTCTAATGAACCTGGAGTTCTAATGAACCTGGAGTTCTAATGAACCCGGGTTGCCTGAATTAAGATTTCAATTAATTCAGGGTTCTACTGAACCTTGAATTAAGATTTCACAAAATAAATGAATTAACATCCAAACAATTAATTTAGGTACAAATAATTAATCAAATGAATTCAATAACTTCTTAAATAAAGATTTTAATACTATATGGTATTAGTATGTTAATACCAGTTGGTCTTTAGTACCATAAAGATTTAATGTATCATATGGTGATAATACAAGCTGGATAAAGATATATAAGTAAGAATTAATTATTAATTTGCGATTAATAGAATAAGTGATTTATGATTCAGGTAATGAGTCAAATTAAGTATTCATTAGTTTATAAAATTTTATAAAATAGAAGTCTTAGAGTAACAATTAATTGCATAAATTTGAAGCATTATAAACTAGTAATATAAAAAATGCGTCTACTAAGATTAACGGTAAATGCTTACATAAACGCGTGGAGATATGACAGAGGAGTCAGGAACTATCTTGGAAACGGATATTTTTATTACTAATTAGAATATTTATTCTTTTTGTTGAAGAATATTTCCCTCATAATATCCCCACTTTCTTCTCCTAACATCCCCCCCCCCCAACACTTTTCCAACTTACTCTGTACTTTTCACTTAACTTTCCTCCACTTCAAAGTTTGTGAAGCCTCCCATAGCAAACTTCCTCACTTTCTAATCTGCAAACTTTCTTGTATCTATCTCCTTTGAAGATCCCCTGCCTTTCTATCTCTCTCCCTCCCCTCCCAACACCCTCTCCCCATCCACCCCACTTCCTCTCCCCAGCCATCCTCCTCTCCTCATCCCATCAATCCCTCCACTTTCCCCATCCGCCCCCTCTCAAACCTCTCCCCTTCCCCATCACAGCCACTCACCTACTGTCTTTCTCTCCCCCACCAGAGTGGGAGTCTTGACGGGGTTCGAGCCTCAGGACCTGATCGAGAAGACTCTCTACCAGTACATCCACGGCTGTGACATGATCCACATGCGCTTCTCACACCACATGCGTAAGTGTTCACCTTGTTTACACTTGTTCAAGGGGGGCGTTCAGTCTTTACCACTGTTCTCATGTTCTGTTGTTAAAGAAATTGTGTATTGTTCATACCTGTTTCTCTCTGGATATGTTCAGGGACTGCAGACGTGTTCAAAAATAGAGTAATATTCACCATCTACCTTTTGTTCAATTTGTCCGGTGTCGACGTTTGTTCAAAAATGCTGGGACATATATAACATGACTAGTAATGGCATATGTTCGGAATTATTAAGCGTGTTCACTTGGATCTTTAATAATATACTCTGTTCTATATAATTTTATATATAAAGTGTTATATAATAATATAAGTGTTCAAATGCTTGTCTTATCTATTTTTTGTTTATTTAAAAAAAATTAATTGAATTTAAAAATATAAATTTTTTCATCCTTCGCACATAAAATAATTTCGACATGTTCTTCAATTTCGTGCTTATTTTTTTCATTAAATTTAAGTGCAAATATATTTTTCACATCCTTGTTTTCTACCCAGCTAGCAATCTTATTTATTTGGTAGCCTATCACTGACCTACCAACAAATCTACCCATTTACTAACCTATTATCCCCAGTGTAATCATTGCTTTCTCTCATCCCATTAGTGCTGATGAAGGGCCAAGTGACCACCAAGTACTACAGGTTCCTCACCAGAGACGGTGGGTGGGTGTGGGTCCAGACCTACGCCACTATAGTCCATAACTCGCGCTCCTCTAGACCTCACTGTATCGTTGCCGTCAACTACGTCATCAGGTACTGAGGTGGTGGGGGTGGGAGTGTTGAGTGGATGAAGGGAATATTGTTGATTGTTTTGTTTGTGTGGGGGGGGGGAGGGGGGGTAGGGTTGAAGCTAACATTATTTCGTTTTAAATGTGGCATTGTTCAATTTTGTTTATTGAGTTGCATTTTATTTATTTTAGCATTAAAATATACATAATATAAGTTGAGATAAAGCGTTTTCACGATTTAATTTTTATTTTACACTTTTGTTTTTACCATAAAGTTATATAATCATTATATAATATAAAAATGAAATGATTCTTTTTAATCAACAATCATTCCAGTGTCAAAGACATACTCTCAAACAAATAATCACCGTTTCTCAGTGTATATACACTGAGAGTATATACTCTCAGTGTATATACACTGAGAGTATATACTCTCAGTGTATATACACTGAGAGTATACTTTAGTCCTGGACATTAATCAGGACTAAAAGTATGCTTGCTGGTTGGTCAGAAAGCCATTATTGTTGCCATCAAAACATTCCAATAGGTGGACACAGGCCTTAAGCCTAATACCTAACCACAATAAAAATTACTGAAGGATCGTTCCATGTTTGGGGAATCATTCTTGAATTAAAAAAATCTTTCCACACGCTATTGGTCACTTCAGATTGCTGGAGGTAAAATACGGGTCTAAAGGAATATAATTCCTGATTATATATTCCCGATTATAAACATAATTTCCTACTTTAAGTTGCATTCTCGAGTTTAGGCATCTTATCAGAATTTAAGATTTGATCTAGATTTTAGTGACGGGGTAAAATTTCTTTCATAGTAGTTGAAGACAAGAAATGCTGTATTCTAAGGTGTATATTTGTGTATAACGTGGGTGCTAGTGCAGTGTGAGGTGTATAAGTGCAGGTGTAGTGTATATGTATTGGAGGAATGATGTATAGGCGTAGTGTGAGCAGGTGTATGGTGTATTTGAGTATAGGTGTACGCTGTAGTGTGAACAGACTTAGTATGTACAGTTGAACATATATATATGTATATATATATATAGGTTGTATAGAGGGTGGGTGCATAAGTGGCAGGGTATATATATATATATGTTATGTGGCAGGGTATATATGGCGTACAGATCTCAAGTGTAAAGAGGACATACGTATGTTTTACACGTGTAAGGTTGGACAGGTAGTAGATTGTACATGTGTAAGTTGTGCTGATGAAGGGTGTACAGGTGTAGAATGTACAGGTTCGCATCCTGACCGGGGAGGATTGACTGGGGCACCAATCCTTAAAAGTACGTCTCTCTCCACCCAGCAGTGAATGGGTACCTGGTACTTAAACGATTGCTGGGTCGTGTTCCAGGGGAAACTAGAGACTAAGGCTGAGCATTGGGAAGGGAAAGCTCTCAGCTTGCTCATATTGAGTCATCAGTCGTCTGTTCCTGTACCCATTTGTGTACAAAAAAGTGGGTACAGGAACAGGTGCACAGTAGGGTGTACAGGTGTAAAGTAGGGTGTACAGGTTACTAATCAGTGTTCCGTCTACAGTGAGGTGGAGGCTCGGGAGGGTCGGCTATCCTGGGAGCAAGTTGGAGGGGGTCGCGGGGAGGAGGGGGGCAGCTGGGGTGAGGCGGGGGGGATAAAGGGCATGACGGGGGGTCGGCTCAAGTGCCGCACCTCCCCCTACCCTTCCCCAGCCCCCACCGAGGCCCTACACGAGGTACTGGACGGCCCGGGAGGGGCAGCTATCCACTACCCCTCCGCCCTAGCGCCCCCTCCCCTAGCCGCACCCTCAACCCCTTACCCAGACCCCCGCCTACCCTGCTACCCCCCAGCTTACGACGTGTACGACGAGCGATACGTGCGGGGCGACGCGCAGCAGTACGCGGGGTGCAGCGCCCCCCTCGACCCCACCCCGCTGCCCCCCGCCGCCTGCCACTACACCAGCGCCAAGACCTCCGGGGGCTACGAGGAGCGACCCTGGAGTCAAGGTTCAGGCAGCTCCTCGGCCTCCGAGGACCCCAGACACGAGTACTCCTCCTCCAACAACAACAACAACAATACGCCCACGCTGGCTACGCCCATGTACCCTCTACACGACTACTACGCCCACGCCCACGACAAATTCTACGCCACGGATAAGCTGCACTACGCCGCGGCAGCTGCTGCGGACAAGACACAGTACGCAGAAAAGTTCCAGTATTCCGATAAGGTACAGTACGCAGCGGGGGTGGGAGGGGCGGCCGGGGGCGGGAGCTGCGTAAGGGGCGTATATAGCTACGTCGACGCCGCGCTCAGTACGCAGACGGAGACGGCCATGACCAGCAAGACGCACGTTCTGCCCCAGCTCGGTTACACCTCCGTCATTGTGGACGCCCAACAGTACAACGCACAGAATGAATTTGTGCACTAGATGCCTCCCTCCTTCCCTCCTTCTCTTCCTTCTTCTCCCTCCCCTCCCTCCCCTCCCTCCTCTTCCTTCCGCCTGACCACATTTCACGCCCGGCGACGCCCAAACAATTCAGTAAGCTTGAAAAGTCACAGTGCAATTTTGATGCAATCTTACAGGTCACCAGAGGCTACAACGTAGCCTCACATGTCACCAAAAGCTGCAACATGGCCTCACACGTTACCAGAGGCTGAAACGTAGCCTCACGTTACCAGAGGCTGTAACATAGCTTCCTAGGTCACCTGAGACTGCAAGGGAACCTCACTGGACACACGAGAGGCTGCAACATAGCGTCACAGGTCACCTAAGATTGCAATTCTGCTATGTAAGTGCTGCTCCCCGCTGACCTGTATCAGCTCAGCTCAACATTGACACTAAAATCACTCCCGTAGCCAACACTGCCTAAGGCTGTGTCATGTGTCTTCTGCTAGGACGCGCACGAGCATGGTATACCTCTGTGTAACGTCTAGTGTACGATAAATAATTACAAAAAGTGGGAATACGAGAGCTTGAGAAAACGGGAACCAGAGACAGAAAGAATCTGCGTGCAAAGAGATTGGAAATTTGCATACCATAAAAAACGGGAATCTACATGTCGTAGAAACCGGAATCCGGGTACTAGAGAAAGTGGGAATCCGAGTGTAATTATTAGTGTCAGGACATCACATGATAATCCACATCCGATGGCGTATGGCTCAGAGAAAAAGGGAAGGCGTGTGCCAAGCTCAATGTTTTTAATTTAATTAACAGCTCAAGCTTAAATGTCAGTTTGTCCATACAAATTTAATTTGTGAATCAAATTTTTTGCCTACAAAATATAAGAAATCAGTGCAACTTTATCACCGCCGAAAATTCTGTTCATAAAATTACTTGCCAAATAAAAAGAGAGAAATATATATATACAGAAATCGGGAATCTATGGCGAAGGAAAATATATTTCCTAAGAAAAATTAGAGTTTGCGATTTGAAAATAAAAAAAAAATCATAAAAACATCCATATATTGTAAAAGAACAAAAAACGTGTTCCGTTAAGAAACAAAGCATAAACATTAATATATAATTTTAACTAATTTTAGTATACATATGTATGTATAATTGTAAACTCCGCTGCCTAGGAATATTACATTTACTATCCCTTTGATCTCCCCAAGGCACTACGGGCTCACCATAGCCCGTGCTACTTGGAACTTTGTTCCAGGTAGCGAATCTTTAACAACAACAATGATCTCCCCTCCCCCCCAAAAAATACAGTATATAAAATATATCAAAGAAATGGACAAACTATTGGCTGCCTCATGTGGGTGTGAATGTTGATTGGCTCTTATTTCGGCCATTTCTAGTCCCTTAATTGGCTGCCTCGCTAGCATTGTTATGGACGGTAATTAACTACATTGCGGGAGCCATTCGCTTATCACCGATGTCCTGGTTTTACTGCATATTGGCGATTAATAGGGTAATTCCCCTTTCAGAGACCGGGCTCTGACGCTAGGCTGTTTTATCTCTCTACTGAGCGATGATTGGCTCTTGTGCTGGGACGCCGCTACGACCCTAATTGGCAAACCATACGAATAAACAACCTATGTAAACAATTTTCAGTGTGCTCGCACGCACGCACGCACGCACGCACGCACGCACGCACGCACGCACGCACGCACGCACGCACGCACGCACGCACGCACACACACACACACACACACACACACACACACACACACACACACACACACACACACACAATTTACCAGTTACCAGTGCTACATCTAGTCACTTGAATGTTATATTTATTGGTAAACAGTACACATTAAGACTTTATAACATTAAGGCTTTATAACCTCTGCCGTCCAATCACAGGAGACCCAGCCTGAGCACCACTGAGGGAAATCATGATTCTTTTTGGTTATAGTAAAACCAGTGATGTGACTGATCTTGCCCACCAGTAAAACGAATAAAAATTCATGTAGAAATCTCGTAATCGGCTTCTCACTGGCCCAGTAGTTATAATTCCCATCTGACTAGCAGAAGGAGACTAATTCACCAATCTCAATCACAGCTTCCAAATTAGTGACGTTTTTACACATAGAAGAAGCAACATATGTTTGAGTAACGTTAAAGGAATATTGATTCTGTTACATTACTGTCACTTGAAGGGAGGGGGATTGATTCTACTCTTTAGCCTTTCATTAGGATTATATTCAACATCCGGAACATTTTTTTTTTAATATTTGTTACATGTGCATTGACTAGCTTGGCGCACGCTGACCACAGTACCCACCCAGTGGGCATAATACCCATGAGTAGCTTTAATTTAACGTGAAAAATGATGTTTCTCTTGGGTATTTTGCCCACTGGGTAGAGGATTTTTGGACAATAATCACAGTGAAAATAAACATTACTTATTATGTACCATGAGAAAGTATCATTCTTGAAGCACAACTGTGATCTTATGACAACAATATCTATCATGCATCAACTGAGACTTAATGTCCATCATACATGGATTGTAAAATTAGCATGCACTAGGTGTAGCTATCGTTATCGTTCATCAGGCATCATGCACCAAGTGTAGCTGTCGTTATCGTTCATCAGGCAACACATGTATATAATGAATATCAAGCTAAATATATCGTATACCACGAGCAACTATCGTACATTAGGAACATATCGTACACAAAGATCAGCTACTGTAAACCAGGAGGAACTATTGTACACCAAGAGGAACTATCGAACGCCAAGAGGAATTATCGTATATTTAGAGTAAGTTTTGTACACCAGGAGGAACTCTCGTACACCAGGAGCAGCTATCGTACACCAAGAGTAACTATCGTACACGAGGAACAGCTATCGTGCACCAGGAGTAACTATCGTACACCAAGAGTAACTATCGTACACGAGGAGCAGCTATCGTACACCAAGAGTAACTATCGTACACCAAGAGCAACTATCGTACACCAACAATAACTATCCTTCATCAAACAAAAAAAAAATTGCAAAAAAAAACTGACGCAATATGAAACAAACTGAAAAAAAGCAGCTCGTCGAATTATCAGACATGAAACTGTCGTACATCAGGCAACATTCCCAATATATATATATATAAATATATATTGCTTTGTGGCCCTCAAATACTTTTTATATAGTTTTGTATGTGGATACATATATGTTTAATAGACTAATGAATTCCTGAATCGGGCATTATATTTTGGCATCATTATTTTCCCATTTTTTTTCACCCAATGTTACCAAGTGAATCACACAATTTTGTAAATATGAATAGTTAAGGTAGATTCCTTATGGACGTTGTTATAATAATGTTTGTTTATAATAATGTCTGTGAGTGCGCGTGTAAAATTTCAAGTCACCTTTTTATGTCTTGTACAGTATCAACATGTTGTAAATATTGTATAATATCAATGTCATATTAATAAAAATTTCTCTTTTTGAAAAAAAATAAGTATTTTGCTTTTTCCTACAATTTATATGTATGTATATTTTTTATTTTGTACTTCATATAGTATGGTTTTTGTAAGTGTTTTCTGAGACCGCCAGTTAGTAAGGTAAGGTAATAATCAGGAGAAACCACTAAGCCAAGTTGACTATATAGCACATTGAATAGAAAATGAGAAGAGGATCGAACGAGTTTTTTTTTCTACCACAAACGTGGCCACACATTTACAATGCTAACTAGCATATATACATTTTCTTCTGTCCTCCGACTGTGAGACCACTGGGTCCTCAAGGAGCGTGGTGGTCTTATCAACAAGTGCCTCTGATCTCCATGATGTTACTTATTCTTGAATTACAGTGTTCATCCAATCAGCAGGCGTATCTGGCCATGATAACGTCACTAATAATTCGGTCATAATCCTCATCAAATCAGTTGAGGCTTATTCTCCACAAAACTGCAAGAAATTACAGCAGCCTCTCAGAGTAATATTTTAAGGAATGACTAAAGAAGAACAGCGACACTATAAGCTAATCAGAAACTGCCTTTCTGATGTGTCATTTTATTTGTATTTCTTTATTTATTTATTTATTTATTTATACAAGAAGATACAAATGGATTTGAGAGAGTGCATATCATGTTTTTACATTTTTTCATAGGCTATACATTCTTGCAAACCCTCTTAACACATCATGTTGAGTTACCAGACGGTGTAAATTCATTACGGTATTATGCTGAGCTTACACAAATTCTTTAATTAACAAAAAAACTTCTTGGGGGTTAAGAATACACAAAGGTTATCAACTACAGTTAATGTGACAGTATGGAACAGATGATAGTCAATGCATAGTGACTACAATTGCAAAACTCACCACATACTCTAATACCGTATCGAGTATTCCACTCCTAGAATCAAACGATTAAACCACGTCATTTAGACGGATAATACCGAGTTGACAACGTAGCATTATTAACAAACACGCTTCTACCATTCGTCCAAGAAAAAGGTTTTGCAATTTGTTTCAATAATTTAAATGCTAATGCCTTAGTTTAAAAAGTGTTTAGCCTGGCAATTACCCAGGGAGTATTTAATACAAACTCGACCAGTGAACAATTCCTATTTATGTGCGCGAATAACAGCATCATAATATATATTTGCATTTTTAACGAATTTGTCAAGTTGTTGGTGCTACATACAATTTGTGTATATAAAACTATTACAAAAATTGTTTTAAAACATATATTTTAAATAAAAAAATTATTGTATGGACGAAATATAAAAAGAGAACTATCAACCTATTGAAGGCACAAACAAATTGTATACAACACGTAAAGCCAGTATACTCTCAATGTATATATACCGAGAAGTGGGGTATACCTCTCGGTGAATATATCCCTGTGTGTGTAGCAAATTCTATGCTACAAATTCTTGTTTGTATTGAAGGCACAAACAAATTGTATACAACACGTAAAGCCAGTATACTCTCAATGTATATATACCGAGAAGTGGGGTATACCTCTCGGTGAATATATCCCCTGTGTGTGTAGCAAATTCTATCATTATCTATTGATTGTGAGGAGGTGATACCTGCTTCACCAGCGAACCGGAAAAAAATAATAATTGTCAACTGAACCAATACACTTAACCTGTCACAAGCCTAATACACAATTATAATAGTATATATTAATTTACAGTAACGAATTTTTAAGGGTAGGAGGGAGAGGAATACACAATACAGAGTACGAGCATAACCCGTGGATAGGTTGGTGTTAAGTATTATAAATTTATAATTAATTGCGTCGTCGGCATCTGGCCATTGTTTACAAGCATGTTCAGTGCGGCGATCCTCCAATACTTTTACAACTCCAAGCTATCTGATTCGATACAAGTTACACCGTACATCAGACTAATTCTCACCGGATTTTAACCTTATCTAGAAAAAATGAAACCCTAATTCAACCGAATCTAACCTAATACATTATAATCTAACGATATACACTGCTGTGGCAATCAGAAAACGAGTAACGTTGAAACAGTCTTGGGTGCAATTTGATCACTCGTGGAATGGCGTTCCAGCTCGAGAGACCATGGGTGTCGGTGTTGCTTGTGTAGTGGTCTCTTGCCTTGTGCTCGGAGCCATATATATATATTAGTGCCAAGTGTTTAGTTGTGAAGTGACTGAGATCACCGGGGAGCCATTTAAAAAAACCCTTGTATGGTGAACCTGATTATGTTCACCGGTAGTTTTTGTGACGGAACTCGCGAACTGATTTATTATGGTGTAAACAAACAGTTGAGAGTCTTCGTTTTAACATTTCATGCCCAAGATGGCTGTTTGTGCTGCTTCTGACGTCACCCTCGATCAGAGACAAAAGGTATGTTGTAAAATGTTTTATGTAATTATCAAAGACGAGGTCTGATAAAGACCTTTTGTGCCCTCTGTAATGACTTTGCGCTACAGCTTACAGGATGGGTATGGGGTGCACAATAAACTAGCCACCTCCGGCGGCAACAATGAAACAAAAAAAAACAATAATCGCTGACACGTATAATGATTCCAAATTTAGATCTTGATTATACGATATATGATTACCGGTTTTTCCGTCGGCATGACTTTTAGTCCTACGCGATTGACTCTAATTGAATAAACTCTGTTGTGGATATATAAACATTTATAAATAACTTGTTTTGAATTTGAGTACAATTTTGCTTGCTATTCCGATTTAGTGTAATAAGCTTTGCCCAGCTTTATTTGAAGGATAATATTAGTCTTGTGTTGGGCGTATTTACGCTGGGATCCATGTTAATGTTGCCCTCTTCAGGTCAATGATTACGTTAGGTACCAGTATATGAATGAACTTGAAAATCCCCATAGAGCTAGTAAGCTGGGGATGGAAGAACGAGGGCGAGGCTGCAGAAAGCTTGAGCGAGGAACTGGAGACGAGGCAGAGAAAAGAGTGGTGGCCCGATCACCATGGATTTAAACTTGGGTTGATTTCTGTAAGGGCGAGTGGAACGTTCTTGGCACTACACACGCGGGCTTTGGAGAGCAATTGGCGGGTGGTAGTGGTTACGGGCTATTCATGCCCGTGCCACCTCTTGGGTGGCTTAATCTTTATTAATCATCGGTGGTGAGTGGTGGCAGACGATGGTGGTAGTTGGTGTCACTTCATTCTTGGGTTGTGGGTCTTCATTCTTCTTTCTTCAATCTTCTTTCTACATTCTTCGGTCTTCTGGCTTCAGTTCTCTTCTTATTGACAAAGCTCCATTCCACTTTACCATAGGCTATTTAGAATGGTTAAAAAGACGTGTTATGGTTGATAATACAAAAGCTAACATTCGGGTAAGTTAGTTACCATATTTTGATATATTAGGTTAATATAATTGTTACGTTAAGTTAGGCTGAATTAGTATAGTTATATTACGTTCGATTAAGTTATTACAGTTATATAAAGGTACAGTGTGTTGGGGAAAAAAAGGTACGTCCTGAAAACTCCGGTCATTTAGACATATTGTAATCAAAAGTACGACATCGAACGATCGAACGAACAATGTTTGACAGGTCACGGGCTTCTTGTCCAGGTATAGGCCACCTAGACAGGGTTGTCCTCTGGTAACCTCTCAAACTACTCCAGAGAAAGCGCAGTTAGTTATCTGCGTGTACTCTGACATGGTTCACTTTCATGTATTGTACAGGCCTCGTGGCTATTAACACCGCTTCTAGTTCTTCCTGCTTGACACGTTTTTTTTTCCAGTCGCGTTAGGTAAGGTCTAAGGTAAGTCAAGGTCAGGTGAGGTTAGTTAAGATTAGGTTTGGTTAGGTTAAGTTGAGATCGGGATGCATTTACAGTTAATTAGGTTAGATAAGGATACATTTCCGGTTGATTAGATAAGATTAGGATACATTTCCGGTTGTTTAGGTTAGATTAGGATATACTCACGGTTGATTAGGATAAATTTACAGTTGGTTAGGTTAGATTAGGATACATACCCGGTTGGTTACACAAGTCACGTTGGTGGAAACAAACTACCCAATCCACACCTATATAAGGGCTAGGTTATTTAAATTATTCAGGTTAGGCTAGGTGTACTATTAGTTCTGATTCGCCAATATTTTGCAACAATGATTGTAAACTCATTAAGATTATAGCCTTTGTTTACGTACGGCTTTAAGCACGATATGTTTGCTAAACGATTCCCATAAATTCTAGCTTGAGTAAAGGCTTATTACGGGGATATATATATACTTTCCATGAGCTATGGGGAGGGAAAGATATCAGCCTGCCAACGGGAGTCAGCAGTCGTCTGCTCCTGTACCCATCTATGTAAAAAAAAAGTCTAATTCGCGTCGGACTAATAACCATTTAAACATTTTGTATGTTGGACATTTTATCATATGTTCATAAGGATTCCTTGACTAGACCTGTAAAGCATAAAGTTTCTTGACACTAACTGACCTGGAGGCTTCGTACTCCAAAATGGTTGCCAAATAGCTTCAGTTGAACTACGCCACATACAAAAAAAATTTTGGCTACATATAATTCGGTGTTCAAATTCTTGCGCCTTTCTTTGACTCGCACATATTTGCTTTGTCTTTGTCTCTATCTCAGTCCGTCTTTGTCTCTTTCTGTCTCTCTCCTTTCTAAACTGCTCAGGGAGTGTCCAAACCCTTCAGTGGCAGACGAAAAGGGAGGTCCTGTTGTGACGTTACACGGTGGAGTGTGTTTACAGGCGCTGTTTGACCATACTGTGGCAAGTGTGTTTGGCTCCTGCCTCTCGTCTCTCTCTCTCTCCGCTGCCTCTCGTCTCTCTTTCTCTCTCCGCTGGCTCTCGTCTCTCTTTCTCTCTCCGCTGCCTCTTCTTCCCTTTCCTTAATTGTTCCATCGTTTTATTTTATCATTATTTATGTCGTGCTCCATGGTAACCTTGTATTCATACATTTCATTTGCGTCCTTGTTGCCATTCATTAAGATTGAGCTGCTTCATTTGTAAATCTTATCTTCAGTGGCCTAACTTTTGTATTTTCCCATGCTGCAGTAAATGATCCCCATTCTATATATTTCTTCGAAGTTCTCCACTGGTAGTAATCCTAGCGTTCTATGTTAATCTTAAAGTTCAAATTTGGTAGTGTTAGTTTCAATTGGTTATTCCTGACGCTGTCCCTGTCTGTCTGTCTATAGTTAGGGCGTTCCTCGGTTCATCTCCAAGACTTCCTACTGTTTTTGCTCATACAATGAGAGGTTCGTGTGTGTGTGTGTGTGTGTGTGTGTGTGTGTGTGTGTGTGTGTGTGTGTGTGTACTCACCTAGTTGTACTCACCTAGTTGTGCTTGCGGGGATTGAGCTCTGGCTCTTTGGTCCCGCCTCTCAACCGTCAATCAACAGGTGTACAGGTTCCTGAGCCTATTGGGCTCTATCATATCTACACTTGAAACTGTGTATGGAGTGAGCCTCCACCACATTACTTCCTAATGCATTCCATTTGTCAACCACTCTGACACTAAAAAAGTTGTTTCTAATATCTCTGTGGCTCATTTGGGCACTCAGTTTCCACCTGTGTCCCCTAGTGCGTGTGCCCCTTGTGTTAAATAGCCTGTCTTTATTAACTCTGTCGATTCCCTTGAGAGTCTTGAATGTGGTGATCATGTCCCCCCTAACTCTTCTGTCTTCCAACGAAGTGAGGTTTAATTCCCGTAGTCTCTCCTCGTAGCTCATACCTCTCAGCTCGGGTACTAGTCTGGTGGCAAACCTTTGAACCTTTTCCAGTTTAGACTTATGCTTGACTAGATACGGACTCCATGCTGGAGCCGCATACTCCAGGATTGGTCTGACATATGTGGTATATAATGTTCTAAAAGATTCCTTACGCAAGTTTCTAAAGGCCGTTCTTATGTTAGCCAACCTGGCATATGCAGCTGATGTTATCCTCTTGATATGAGCTTCAGGGGACAGGTCTGGCGTGATATCAACCCCCAGGTCTTTCTCTCTCTCTCTCTGACTCTTGAAGTATTTCATCTCCCAAAAGATACCTTGTATCTGGTCTCCTGCTCGTGTGTGGGTGTGGGAGGGTGGGTATAGAAGGTAAGTCATAGGAAGTGCGTGTGTGGGGAACTGGGCGGAGGTGCATGTGTGTGTGTGTGTGTGTGTGTGTGTGTGTGTGTGTGTGTGTGTGTGTGTGTGTGTGTGTGTGTGTGTGTGTGTTCAATAGATGTAAGCAAGTCTCCGAGCAAGTATGTATCTATATATTCATGCCTGCGCGGGAGGACACTTGCATCTGGGCACGCTTGAGCGCGTGCTGGGGGTTACCAGCACACGCGCGTGCGGTAGCGTGCGCATGCAGCGTGGTGAGTGAGGCAGCTCTAGCCCCCGACACGATTCTCCTGGCAAAGCTGGTAGGGGCTCGTTGTTGTATCGACCGACCTTGCCCGCGTAAAGCTGTAGTGGTGTTCATGCATACTCCTCCACACGCCCCCACGCCCACAGACCACACCACACACGCCCCCACACGCCCACAGACCACACCACACACGCCCCCACGCCCACAGACCACACCACACACGCCCCCAGACCACACCACACCACACACGCCCCCACGCCCCCAGACCACACCACACACGCCCCCACGCCCCCAGACCACACCACACACGCCCCCACGCCCCCAGACCACACCACACACGCCCCCACGACCACACCACACACCCCCACGCCCCCAGACCACACCACACACGCCCCCACGCCCCCAGACCACACCACACACGCCCCCACGCCCCCAGACCACACCACACACGCCCCCACGCCCCCAGACCACACCACACACGCCCCCACGACCACACCACACACGCCCCCACGCCCCCAGACCACACCACACACGCCCCCACGCCCCAGACCACACCACACACGCCCCCACGCCCCCAGACCACACCACACACGCCCCCACGCCCCCAGACCACACCACACACGCCCCCACGCCCCCAGACCACACCACACACGCCCCCACGCCCCCAGACCACACCACACACGCCCCCACGCCCCCAGACCACACCACACACGCCCCCACGCCCCCAGACCACACCACACACGCCCCCACGCCCCCAGACCACACCACACACGCCCCCACGCCCCCAGACCACACCACACACGCCCCCACGCCCCCAGACCACACCACACACGCCCCCACGCCCCCAGACCACACCACACACGCCCCCACGCCCCCAGACCACACCACACACGCCCCCACGCCCCCAGACCACACCACACACGCCCCCACGCCCACAGACCACACCACACACGCCCCCACGCCCACAGACCACACCACACACGCCCCCACGCCCACAGACCACACCACACACGCCCCCAGACCACACCACACACGCCCCC